CTTACTTCACTCAGTCATTTATTTACTTTATAACAGTAAATAAATATCGGTTCTGCATATCGGTTATCAGGCACATAAACATGCAAATAATTAGTATCGGTTATAAAATATCAATATCGGTCGATCACTATAAATTATTATTATTATTATTATTATTATTATTATTATTTGTGATGAAATATGACCCGGACGTGTTCTTTCAGAGATTCACCAGTTTTCCTTCTAGATTTTGCTCCATTATGAGTGCTTTTGTTTTGCAGGCGATGTTGTTTACAAATCATGTCACTTTGTTGGAGACAGTGATGTTCTCCATTCTTTATATAATGGTTTGTTTGGAGTCGGTGTGTGAGCGCATGTGTGTGTGTTGACCGTTCCATTTATGTCCGGGCTGTTGGCTGCATGGCTGTTATGTGAGGCTTCACATGCACCCATTTAGCCTGACAGCTTCTGTCTCATGCGTTGCTAAGGTCCGGATGTATGCCATAACAACATGTCTCAACAAGTGCTTGGCAGTATGAAAGAGTGAGAAAGGGGTTTAAAAAGGTGCATGAGTGCAGTATGAAATTAAACGCTTTGGTGAGCAGAGAGGGAGAGAACTGCCCTTTCAAGAAATGCTAATATGCTCAAGCTAGCAGGACCACATGAAGTGTCTTTAATGTAATTTGAAAATTAAACACTTAAACTCTGCAGGATCTAATGTTGGGTTTTAGGTTCTTTTATGGAAATGTTGATGTTTCCCCATCTTTCTCTCACACCCTCTCCTCTTTGGGGTATTTATAGCCTCCGAGGTCCTCCGTCACCGAATCAACACGAAGCGGATGCCAAATATAGCCTGCGTGCTTGTGCGCTTGATCTCCCATCTGTTTGAAACGGCCATAGGAAGGGACAATTCACACCCGCACGCTATAATGCACCTAATTAAAAACCACTTGTGACAAAAGGCCAGAGAGAGGGGGACTGGCCCTCACCCGACTGGCCTTTTCCACCCGACACCCATAACAGCCCCTCCCAGGCACGCACACTCAGCACACGCACTCGTGCACACAGACAGGCCTTGTGTAAAGCTTTCGCAGTTCTGCACGGCCCCCTGCCCCAGTCAAAAACCCCATTGTTTGGCGATGGAAGCTGAAGTGTGAGCAGCCATAGGATCCGCTAAAGCAGCTTTGTGTTCTTCGGAGCAGTGTGTGTGGGCATTTGTGGCCAAGCTCGCCGTGCCACCGGGTGTGTGTCTGTTTTCAGTGTCCGCACCTCGCAATGAGTTTGGACCCAGTCTCTCCTTTGTATAGGAAGTTATGCAACCTCCCACAACGGGACAGTGAGGCCGGGCCGGGCCACCCAGCTCCATTCATGTTGCAATACACGTCCATCAGCACATTTTACAGAGTTGCATAATTTTGGCTAAATAAAGGTGGATTTGGCATTCCTCCGTGTTTACTCTGCGATGTTTGCTGAATGTGCCCACCAGATGGCCACATCTAGAGCAGTGCACAAACGGGCTTGTGGGCTTTTTTTTTTCGCTCACTCCCTCTCTCCTTTTCCATCCCTCGCTTTATCTGCTCTCTGGAGTATGTATGCTTGTTCTTAGCTTCTCTTGAGTGTTTTATTTTTTTTCACGCCTGAGTGTTTGTGAAATAATTCTCTCCGTTAGGAAGAGGCGCTGTGTTTGTTTTGCTGATAAAAAGATTTAGAGCTTATTACGCTCCGCCGCAGATTAAAGAATGATTTCCGAGCTGCTGCTCCACATTCTAAAGCAAACAGCAGCTTTTTATAGCGATCGCTATAGGCCCTCAGGGGCCCGACTGCATTCAGAGGCCTAATTGACACCGTCTTGATAGGTAATGCTTGACTTAAGGCTGTGTTCTTTCAATTAAGACTCGTCAATATCATTTCTGTCACACGCTATGAAGCGCTGAGATTCAGAAGAGCTCGTTTATTCCCGACACAAGCAGGCAAGAAAGTTAATCTTCATACAAAATTAACACATTAAAGATTGCATGGACGCTTTCACCGCAGATTCCGATAACTAGAAATGTATGTAACTGAAGACTAAGGATTAGAGGTAGATTTATATATTGGTTTTACTGATAAATTGTTTGTATTATGTAACTATTTTTTAATCTATTACATAATTACAAAACGTTCACTATTTAACTTTGAGTGGAACTGTCCAATATTATTAATTTCTTTTTAAAAACTCTGCTTTTTGAGCAGCAAATCAGCATATTAGAATGATTTGTGAAGGATCGTGTGACACTAAAGACAGGAGTAATGGCTGCTGAAAATTCAGCTTTGCATCATAGGAATAAATTACATTTTAAACTCTATTAAAATAAAAAGCATTTTAAATTTTATTAAATTGTCATATTTGTCTGTATTACTGTTTTTGATCAAGTAAATGCAGCCTTGGTGAGCACAGGAGACTTCTTTCAAAAACATAAAAAACATCTTACCGACTCCAGACTTTTGAGCTGTATCTAATATTAACATTAACAATTAACAATTATTAAATTATTAACTATATATACACATACATATATATATTTGTTAATAATTGTTACAATACAATAATACAATAAAATATGTGACATATGTGTCTGGGATTGCATGTAGAAACTGAGACGAACTAAATCCAGAAGATCTGTGGCAACGTCTCTAAGACGCTTCAAGAAACCTTTCTGCAAAGCTACAATACTGTGCAAAGTTTTAGGCACTTGCGTAAAAATACTGTAAAGTGAGGATGCTTTCAAAAATAATGTCATAAATAGATTTTATTTAACAATTAAATTCTATTAACTAAATCAAATCAACATTTGGTATGGCCACCCTTTACATTTAAAACAGCTTTTGTCCTTGGTACACTTGCGTATAGTTTTTCAGGAATCTTTGCAGGTAGGTTTCGTCAATTGTTTTGGAGACGTTGCCACAGTTCTTCTGGATTTAGTCTCTCTCAGTTTTTTCGGTTTCTTCATGTAATCCCAGATGGACTGGATGATGGTGAGATCAGATCTCTGTGTGGAGCACTGGCTGCTGTCAGACTCCTTGTGCATACAAAAATCTCACTGGATTATTCCAATTAATAGCAAAATAAATGTTTATAAATGTAAACTGATATGTGACCCTGGACCACAAAACCAGTCATGTGTCATTTTTTTTTTCAAAATTGAGATCTATACATCACTTGAAAGCTGAATAAATAAGCTTTCCATTGATGTATGGTTTGTTGTATGTATGGTATTTGGCCGAGATACAACTATTTGAAAATCTGGAGTCTGATGGTGCAAAAAAATCTAAATATTGAGAAAATCGCCTTTAAAGTTGTCCAAATTAAGTTCTTAGCAATGCATATTACTAATCAAAAATTAAGTTTTAATATATTTATGGTAGGAAATTTACTAAATATCTTCATGGAACATGGACTTTTTGCGTAATATCCTAATGATTTTTGGCATAAAAGAAAAATCGATAATTTTGACCCATAAATTGTATTTTTGGCTATTGCTACAAATATACCCCAGTGACTTAAGACTGGTTTTGTGGTCTAGGGTCACATATTTCCTACTGACACATTACAGCAAAAGACTGAAATAACTGACTTAAAACCATTTTTTGTTGGTGAAAATACTAGTGGCCTAAGACTTTTGCACAGTAGTGTGTATATATATTAACATATCCCTATTTAAGACACCTTCAGTGCACCCGTCAGGAGATGTGACACAAGTATGCACTCTAATAAAGCCGTAGCCTGTAATCTGCATTTAAAATAAGGGAAAACAGTTGCTCCACTTCCCCTGTCTGCCTGTCTGACAGTATCGCTTTGAGAGCAAGCCTGTGAAAATAACCTCCTATCTGCAACTGATGAGATCTTCTTGTTTTCCTGCAGCTAATTACTTCATTATGGTTTACCTGAATTAAGATCATTACGTTCAGCCTGTTGTTGCTCAAAAACCACTCGATCAATCTTAAGGCCATGAATTCAGACGCATGCCGTAATCCCCTTGACTTCACTTGATCTGTTGTTTGGAGAGTCTACAAGGGCTCCTAGCTTTTCTGGACGGCTTTTTGTTTTGTTTCTGCTGGTTATCACATCTTCCCTATTGAATGGTTACGCTTTTAGATGGAGCAAGGATGTGTACTTTATGTCTGCTTATGCTCTTCATATGATAATATTGGTGTTAGCTGCGCATCTGTGCTCACAGTACTAATAGCCTGTGTTTTTCTCCTCCAGGCCTTAGATGGGTTCTTCTTTGTGGTGAACATGGAGGGGAACATCGTGTTTGTGTCAGAGAACGTAACGCAGTACCTGCGGTATAATCAGGAAGAGCTGATGAACACCAGTGTTTACAGCATCCTGCATGTAGGAGACCATAATGAATTCATCAAAAACCTCCTACCCAAGTCACATGGTGAGAATTTTCCATTCATTGTCTCCTTCCCATTTAGCTATTTTCATTTCATTTGCGCTTCTAGCACCTCTTCTTTTCAGGAATGACTCATTTCTCAACACTCAAGTGTAGCATCACTAGAGCAGTTACAATTTCCACCCTGTGATTATATTAATCAGATTGAGCATTAATTACTGGGATTTACAGAGAGGAATATCAGAATCTCCTCCTCCCTCAGTGGCGGCAAAGGGGAAGGTCACTTGAATAGGTGAAAGAGAGAAAGGACTCACGCCTAGAAACCATATCATTATTGGTTTAAATGATATATTCATCCAGAAAACACACTCATTGGTTATGGGTCCCATTCATAGTGAAATCCAGTTCTACTTCACATAGCTGTCAACATCAAATATGTTTGGACTGTGATTTTGTTGTTCCACTCAGTATTTGGCTCTTGTATATTTTCTTGAGGCTGACATTATAACGTAGGTTAGGTTCCTTTAATAAAGATACTGTAAATGGCTTTGGATGATTAAAAAAACAAATACATGCCAAATTGCTACAAGAGGTGTTCACACTAGCTAGCTTTCCATCCACATATTTTGATTTGAACTGAATATCTCATAAAACTACTGCATGAAACACCAAGAAAATGTTGAAAATGCATAAAAACAAACAGAATTGCTCACTTGAGGTGGATGACATTTTTTATTCAGTTAAGAAGACATTTGTGTAAACTAATATGGAAGCACATTTCCCAAATAAATTCCTAGATATGTCAAAAAAGTAATTAATTTTCAATGATAGTTGGCGATGTGAAGCATTAGGGAAAAAGCGAGATTTTTTTTTTTCATCCTGTGTGTCGATTTTTTTTCACATGTTCTTAATATAATTTCTAAATTCTCCATTGAATTATGTGATCTGGAGTGTCCGTTTTCTTCCACGTGTGCGAGTGTTATGAGTCAGAGCGCGTTAACTCTCTAGTCTAGATCTTCTGTGTTTAAAAAACCGAGTGAAACATTTTTCTACACATGAAATATGAAAGCAAATAGACATGATTATGACAATATATTTTCTGTATGTGTTTTGTATGCAGCTCATGGTAATTTTATAACAATAAAGGATGTTTATGACAATAAGCAGTGTGGCGTTGTTAAACATAGCCTACAAAGAGTGCATGTCTGCCTATTATAGAATCAAAATCAACTATAGATCACAATCGGAAGTTATTACAAGCACTCGATGATGGTTTATAGTGGGTTTTAAGCAAAAACAATAATCACATAAATTTTCAAATGTGGCTTGATGCTAATTAAGTTTGTGTTTCTGGCGTAGAACCAAACTTTATTTAGCTATATTTAATGCTGTATATTGAGCAGTGGACTATGTTAAATCCATATGAGATACATATCTGAGTAAAAATGCATTGCTGGTCAGCACTACCTAGCATGCAGGCGTGAATTAGCAGAAGGCGATCAATCGTTTCGTGCTCGGTGTGAAAGCACCGTTCGTCTGCGATTCACCTCGCTTTTTCGCATCGCGCTCAGTATGAAACGGCCTTTATTCGCAAATTGTTTTTGCAAATATTCTATTTGAAACGTAGATCGAAACATAGCTACTAACACCAGTTAAATGACTGAAGTTCACTGCAATATCCTGAAGCAACATGAGTGACAGGCGGATCATGTACGCACTCCCTTTGGAAGTCATTGAGTTAGCGCAATTTTTTTAATATAAACTTTACATTTTGTCTCATGTTGCTTCACATCACCAGCTCTCATTGAAAATTAATGACTTCCAGTCCCTTGCCACTGTAAATCACCATCAGTGTGAACCCCCCTAAAAATTGTGGGAAGTCGTGGCCTAATGGTTAGAGAGTTGGACTCGTAACCTAAAAGGTTGCGGGTTCGAGTCTCGTACCGGCAGGGATTGTAGGTGGGGGGAGTGAATGTACAGTGCTCTCTCCCACCTTCAATACCACGACTGAGGTGCCCTTGAGCAAGGCACCGAACCCCCAACTGCTCCCCGGGCGCCGCAGCATAAATGGCTGCCCACTGCTCCGGGTGTGTGTTCACGGTGTGTGTGTGTTCACTGCTGTGTGTGTGCACTTTGGATGGGATAAATGCAGAGCACTAATTCCGAGTATGGGTCACCATACTTGGCCACATGTCACGTCACTCACTTATTCAGTAAGGAAAAGTTAGGCAATGCTGGTTCAAATGAGTGACAGTGAATGATGTCTTTTCACCTCCCTCCCACAGTGAACGGAGTGCCGTGGTCCAGCGAGAATCCTCGGAGGAACAGCCACACCTTCAACTGCCGCATGCTGGTTAACCCTCACAGCGAGGCCGAAGAGGCGCAGGATCACGAGGCACAGCAGAAATATGAGACCATGCAGTGTTTTGCTGTGTCTGAACCAAAGTCCATCAAGGAGGAGGGAGAGGGTGAGCCATGGTTTCTTAAAACACACTTAAGCCACATAAACGGTACTGAAACTCTAGATTTAATGCTTCAAAGCAGAGCAGGAGGCTTCAACCAAGCAAAGTGACTACTCCCCTTTCATAGAGCCGGGCGTTCATTTGTCAAGCTTGCCACAAAAGAGCAGATTATAACCTATAGTTTTCAAAAGACTTTGGTTCCAGTGGATGGAAATTGTTGTCTTTATCTACAGTTGTCGTTAGTTGCTGTCATTTTGTGGTCTTGTTACTATAAAGGGCAGTAGTAATTTAACATACACTACCACTCAAAAGTTTGGGGTTGGTAAGATTTTTTTTCAATGTTTTTGAAAGAAGTCTCTTATGCTCATCAAGGCTGCATTTATTTGATCAAAAACACAGTAAAACAGTAATATGGTGAAATATTATTACAATTTAAAATAACTGTTTTCTATTTGAATATATTTAAAAAATGTAATTTATTCCTGCTATGTCAAAGCTGAATTCTCAGCACATGATCCTGTAGAAATCATTCTAATATGCCAATTTGGTGTTTAAGAAACATTTCTTATTATGTTGAAAACAGTTGCTTTGCATTTTGTGGAAACACTTTTTTTTTCTGAATTTTTTGTTAACTAGAAAACATGAGCATTTACTGTCATTTTTTTTTTTTTGCAATTTAATGCATATTTTCTGAATAAAATGATTAATTTATTTCTTACTTACCCTAAACTGTTGACCTGTAGTCTACCAAGGTATCACAGTATTCTTTGCAGAACTTTGTAGTGGCATGATAATTCTGTAATAATTCAGTACCATGGTATATATCAGAGTTCCATGGTATTACCATCTGATAGCATCGCTACACTGTTGTATTGAGACACTACGTTTGGTGACTCGCTGACCGTATTCTGAGAAATAGGATGACACAGAAAGTAGACAAATTAAATAAAAGAAACTTCATCAATAGGAATGAGATTGTGCTTGGGCCTGACAATACAATATTACATTGGTTTATCAGCTGCAATACAATAATATAGTATTTGAATGCATTCTTTGTCACCTTGTTGCTTTGTGCAACGAGTGCTGAGCAGAAATAGTGTACCTCATTTCATAGTCATAATATCATTAAAAAATTCCTTGCAGTTTACCAAACTGTACCTTGAAGGTCCTTTATGGACTTATACTTACCTTATTACGAATGTGTGGCCAAATAGAAATTATTTGAATGTGTGTTGATCTGACTTGCTATCTGAAAAATCTAGCTAGTCTTGTTTGTTGTCATTAGGATATCAATTAGGTGTTGTGAAATATTAAAAAAGTATTTTTTTGTCCACCTCAAATCTTAAGGTGTGATCCAAATGAGAACAATAGTAAGTATTCAGTCTCTTTAAGTTTCAGTTGCTCTGCTAATGTAGAAGCAACATTTAGTGTTGACAGTCATTCCTGACGTGAGAAAAATTAGTCTTCCAGTTACTGAAAAATAAGGCGAAAAGGCGACAGCAGCGCTCGTGGAATGTGCATCTGCGTCCCGCCCCGAGAAATGTTTCAGTCTGTGATTCATTTGCTCTTTTCTCTCCTCCTCTTCCACCTCTCGGAGTCACCCAGAGTTCAGGGTGCATTTGAGACCCGCTTCTCTACTGGATCAACACGGTTTTGGTTTTGGCCCTGGCTGGGGTTTAAGAGTGTGTGTGTGTAACAGCGAGTGCGAGGCAATGAGAGATGTTTAGCATTGGTCTTCCTCTCTTTCTCTCTCTCTCTCTCTCTCTCTCTCTCTCTCTCTCTCTCTCTCTCTCTCTCTCTCTCTCCCTCTCCCTCTCCCTCACATGCACACACATAATGTTTAATTTTTTTCTGGGTACTGTTGGTGTGTTGAGTGATGGAGCGTCTCTCTTTATGGCCCATCGGTGTTAGCTGTGTGCCAGCTGCTCTTTCAGCCAGCCAGCTCACCCTGGCGCAGGAGACAGAGAAGACAGCTGGAGGAGGAATGCGTATGAGGAGAGGGGTATCAGAGAGAGTTTATTGCAGAGACATTGAAGCTGGGTCTTCATGCAGTTTGGAGTGAAGACCACCCAAGAAGCTCTGCAACAGCCATGTGTTTGCATGTAAAGGCCTGTTCACATCAACTTGGTATAAACATCATGACCCGTAGCTCAAAAAGTAGAACATGTCATTAGCAACAGCAGAATGCATTCATGAACTGTAGTCTGATTCATAAACAAGGACTCAGTTGACACAATAATAAGACATTTTTTTAATCAATCATTCAAAAAACGCAGAAGTTACAGTTTTGACTCAAATTCTGACAAATTCTTCACTGAATGAACTCATTGCGGTTACTTGCAGTGTTCTTGTTTATTATTCCTGATCATGTATGCGTCTGATGTGTCAGACTGTTGGAGACGTTATGATTCTCTTATGATCTTTTTGTGGGTGGATGAGGGATGACTTTTCTAACTTAGTCTCCATGGGAGCAGCACAGCAGGGTCAGCCTCCACAGTGACACACAAACGAAAGGTCACATTCCATCATATCACCCCACGCTCCACTCCGCACCGCCCCCTCAACACACAGAACCGATGCCTCATCATTCAGAAGCACCCTTCAGAACACTTTAATAATCTGTTATCACTGATCTGATCTTTTTCTCTCTCTCTCTGACTGTAGATTTCCAGTCGTGTCTGATCTGCGTAGCGCGGAGAGTACCCATGAAAGAGAGACCCATGCTCCCCACACACGAAAGCTTCACCACCCGCCAAGACCTCCAAGGTAACCATGCCAACACAACCCCTCTCTCCGCTTACACTCTTCAAAGGCAGTTTACATCACAGTTAGCACTCATCTCAACGCACAGCCCCTCGTTTAAAACAAAAGATACTGACTTAAACTTGGAAAGACTGTTTAATGACATGAATATGACTTGGCGTCCAGTTTTACAGTGTAAACATTTGAAGGGCTCTCTCATGATTCATGAGATTTCTTTTTTTTTTTTTTTTTTTTTTTGGGGAAATTAGGTG